CCCATCTCTCTGATCTGCTACAACGTATGTCCCACCACGCTCCCTGAGGTCAGCGGACCAGTTGCTCCTCACAGTTCCAGGAACTCGTCTTAAGCGCAGAGGTGACAGGGCCTTCTCTGTAGCAGGACCAAGACTCTGGAACGAGTTGCCTCTGCTTGTCAGACAGGCCCCCTCCCTCTCGGTTTTCAAGTCCCGTTAAAAAAAACACTACTATTCGGTGGCTTTCAACACCAGATGATCTGTGTTTTGAACCTGTATGCTCCACACTGGTTTGTCGTCATTACCTGCATCATTTTTATGTCTATATTCTGATTTACTTCATTTTGTATTTTGCTTTGTGTGTTACCTGTTGTTCCGTCTGTACAGCACTATGGTTGGCCTTGTCGCTGTTTTAAGTGCTCTATAAATAAAATGGTATGGTATGGTATCTAAGTTTAATGATAATTTATTAAGTTTAAACCAAGTTTGTATTTTTACAAATTCTGTCTGCATCAACTCCAACATCCGTTCTATATCTTTACCCAAAGAAAAAAAATGTGGTATCATCTGCAAATAGAACACATTTAAGGAGTCCTGACACATTTATCAAGTAATTCACATATAAAATAAATAACTTTGGTCCAAGTACAGAACCTTGAGGAACTCCACATGTGATGTTACAGAGGTCAGATCTTACATCATGTATTTGTACAAACTCTTTTCTATCTTTGAAATAGCTAGATACCCACTGTAGTGCTGGTCCTCTAATGCCATATTTATTCAATTTTTCACAAAGAATAATGTAGTCAATAGTACCAAATGCTTTCTTTAAATAAACAAAAATACAAACACAATATTGTTTTTGATCGACAGCAGTTGTTATTTGTTCTATCAATTCCATGAGAGCCATTGTAGAGTTATTTGCTCTAAACCCATAATGACTGCTACTTAGAATATTTTGCTTAGCAAGAAATTGATCTAATTTGGTCACAAATAATTTTTCTAAAAATTTTTGAACACTGTAGTAACAAGGATATTGGTCTTTAATTATTGAACACACATTTCTCACCATTCTTAAAAAGAGGAACTACCTTGACTACTTTCATATTGTCTGGAAATATTCCTGTTGAAGATGATAAATTACATATAAATGGAAACGGCTCAATAACATAACTCATTATATAATTTACAAACATCATATCCATGTCCACCCAATTTTTTTGATCTCTTGTCTGTAAGATTTTTTTTTTTTTTTTACTACATTCATTATTTCTTCTCTGTCAGTTCCATCAAGAAAAATACTGTTGGCAAAACCTGTAAATGTATGATTCACATTTTGGTATTTTAGCTGCAAGGCTTGAGCCAACATTCACAAAATAATGATTAAATCTATTTACAATTTCATTTTCTTCATGGATTTCATCGTCATCCTTCACAAAATATTGTGAAATTCCTGTTTTACTTTATGATTTTTCAGAACACTATTCATTACTTAATTTAAAGGTAATCAACAGTTTTAAATGACCAAAAATGTTTTGTGCAAATTTAGAAGATATTTAAAGAAAAAATATTTCAATTCAGCGTTTATGCTGCATGATGTGTCACGTTCACAATCCTGTTCTTAACATGCTTCATCATTAGACACAGAGGAAATGTTTGTCATGTGAACATCTGCTTGTGGTTTTACATTTTTATGTTAAAAGATGAAAGAAGGCACACACTGTGCTGTTATGTACAGTTGGAAAATTCGGTTCACTTTATTCTGAGTCGCTCATTAAAATGACTCGGTTCACTTGAGTCATTTGAGTTGTTCACGCAATAATATTGAGATTTATATGGCAAAAATGTGCTTATAAATATGCCTTTTTCTAAGACGTTATTAGCTTGGTTTCTCTTATAATACGTCTTCAAGCACTTTTCTAGATGTCTACACACAAAAATTATTTATCCATTTAAAGAAATAGTTTTGATCTTTTGAAGGAGGGTTTTGTCGAAAACAACATTAATTAATTATATATATTACACCTTGCTGATAGCTTTTTGAATCACCTCAGTTTGGAAAAATAAAGATTTGTTTCGACAGCATTAAGCTTACAGCAAATTTTATCAGATGGTAGACCCACTTTTTTTTTTTTAAGTAATTTTTGAAAGCCTTTCTAGAGAGGGCATTTTTTAACAATCTGAACCGAACAGCTGAAAATACAGTTTTAATTTAAAAGTATATGTCTTGATGTCTTCCAGGTACCCCACTGAGTGACACAGTGTGTGGACATTGCCCTGATGGTTATTTCTCCTCCCGCGCCTCCTCCTCTGAGCCATGCCAGCCCCACAGAAACTGCTCAGATTTTGGCCTGAAGACACTCAGGTGGGGCACATCCACGTCAGACAGCCTTTGCAGCCCTCAGGACAAGAAGGCATCACTGGAGTGCCCGCAGCATCAGGCTTTGTGCCATAATGGTGAGAACATGCACGGCGTTGAAATGCTTCAGAACAAATGCAGTGAGGGTTTGTATCGTAGTCGCTGTATATTTTACACCCAGAGTAGTAGCACTGGGAGCAAGAGACTTACACACCCAGGTAAGTAAATGTAAGTTATTTATTTACAAAGTGAGGGAATCATCAGGAACATAGGAAGGATCTGCAGGGTACGGAAAATGGTGAGTACAATCCTTAGTCGTAGTACGGTTTTTACTACTTTTCTACTACTATTACTGTTCCTACTTACTCCTGAATCAGAAGCAGCCACCTCCAGGACATGCTGATATTTGGGCTCTGGATGGGACAAAACAAGTGCTGAAGTAAACCGTCCCTTTAACTCACCTCATGCACTGTTAGCTTCAGGAGTGCAGGAGAAAGATTGCCATGATGGTGAATTGTGTGAAGGCTGCTGCTGTACAACTGTAGTCCTTGATGTAGAAGTTGGTGAACCCCAACATTTACCTTCTGACAGACACACACACACACACACACACACACACACACACACACACACACACA